TATCTCATGGTGTGTTGCTCTTACAAACTCAAGTTTTAATGATAGTAACCTGGATTGTCAAATGCAACAACAGGCTTTCTCAGTCACAGCTGTGGAACGTGTAACAGAGACAACCTCTCTGAAGGGCAGCTTGATAATAGATACCAAATGTGCTTTAAATCGTGTACACTTGCTGATGCTGGTATTCTATATCCATCCTAAGGAAAGAGCAGGGATATAGACAGCAAGTTAGCTCCAAAGATGGTCATTCCAGTTTTGTTAATGATGTAACAATTTGAGAACTTTTACATGTCCAGCAATAGGGCACTGGAAAAATCAATTACATCTTAATCATTGGCAGGAATATAATGTTACCGTTAAAAAAGATGCAATAAAACTGCATTTTTGACTGTACTAGTAAATGAAAAAATTGATAGCATGAAAGATTTTGTCCAGTATTATTCCATTTTTGTAAAAATGTTTAAAGTTCAGGCTGATAAGATATGCCCCAAAATGTTGATAATGATTTTTCTCTGAATGGGGCTACTATGGGGCAGTCTTTACTGTTTTATTTTTGCTGCTCTAAATTTTTTAAAAATTTCTACAAATAACATGAATTACTTTTATAATAAATATATATTTATAAAATTATATATACATATGTATACATATGCAACCTCATGAAAGACCTGGATCCAGAGCACCCAGCTAAGCTGTTCCTGAATTCCCGACTCACAGAGACTGTGAAAGATAATGCATGTTTGTGTCTGTTTTAAGTCACTAGGTTTTGGCTGTGATGTGACAGTAGATAGCTGATACAAAGTTTAGTACGAGAAGTGGGGTGCGGATGGAACATAAACCTACCAGTGTGGGAGTGTCTTTGGAACTGAGCAGAGGGCAGAAGCTGAAACAACTTTGAAGAAAGTATCAGAGAAGGCCTAAAGGGCATTGGAGAGGCCAGTAGTGGGAGGAGGATGTTGGTGAGGGTTTATAGGAAAGTGAGAACAAAGCATTCTCACTTTCAAGGAAGGTGATTCTTGTTATGGAGAGGCAGAAATTAAGCAACACTGCAGCAAGATGGAAAGCTCATAAATCCAGCTAAGGAGATTTTTAGGCAAGCCCAGGTATTGGGCTCTTCCACTAAGAGCATCTTGCTACAAATACAAAAGAATCAGAAAATGCAGCCCTGCCCGTGGCCTCTGCGCAACATCTCACTCAGCAGCATGAACTGTGCCCACTGGCCTCCTCGGAAGTGACTGATGCAGAAGGTGGAGTATTAGTGTGCTTGCTGGTTCCCAGGGTGGGTCTCAGAAAGCTTGGAACTGAGGTGGAATCATGTTCATGTTCCTCCCAGAGTATAGAGCAGTTAGACGCTCGGTACCTTTCTGGAGAGAGCGGGGTGAAGAGTGCTCAAGGGAATAATTGAATCAATGCTCCCAGCACTCTACCATGCCCATGGGAAGTCAGGCTGCACAGAGGCTAATCTGAAAACTCAGTCCCAATGCTCCCTGGACCAGATCACAGGGATACTTTGGGGTGCCTGTGCCCTTCAGCAGGTGGGTCTGGACAGAGGCTGCACACTGCAGGTTCCTCCCATGTTTTTCTTCCTAAGGATGAAACCACTCACATGCATGATACACACACGCCACTCACACGCGTGACACTCACATGCATGACACTCACACGCATGCCATCTCTCCTGGGGGTACCTGACAGTCTGAGCTTTAAAGTAATTTACCTTATTTACCTGTAATGAACATTCATCCTGCTTTCTTCTTGTCCAGCGCTCGGAACATCTTCTTTTCTTTGGGGAGCTCCTGCCTCCTGAGTCCCTGACGGTCTAGAGGAGCCAGAAACTCTTATTTCTCAGAAAGGAGGGTGCAGGCATGTGACCAAACTCACCAGATAGATGTACCCACACCAGACTCAGATTCAGAGCCAGGGGCTCCAGGACGAAGCAAGGTCCCGTGGGATCCACCCTGGTGGGGAGGCAGCAGATGCTCCAGGACGAAGCAAGGTCCCGTGGGATCCACCCCGGTGGGGAGGCAGCAGAGGCTCCAGGGTAGCATTGGAAGCCCCTCTGTGGTTGCCCTGCTCAGGGCAGGCTGTTTCCTGGAGCTGCTCTGCCGTGGGTGGCACATTTGGGCCATATTCCAGAGCCCAGTTCCCAGGTCATTCGAGAGATGCTGGGGCCCCCAAGTAACCAGTGATAAATCCCATTTCTGCTTAAACTCAATACAAGTGGTTTCTGTTGTTTGCAACCAAGCCTGCCTGAGGCCTTCCACTGGCGCTGCACCTTTGCAAGGGAGACATTCAGTGTGATATACAACAGCAACTTTGGGATGAACTCCACCTTACCAGACAAAGCTGGGAGCAGAACAATCCCAGATACCTCTTCGAGTCAATGGACCACTAACTACGGCAATGCATTTTTTTAATGCGCTTTTTAAATCACTTGGAATGCCCTGAACCTCCCCACGTCCTCCTCTGTCCCACGCGGGTCCACCCTCCACATCATGGCCACTGTGATCTTTCTCCACAATGATCTGGTGGTGCCACTGCCCATGTGACACCTGTGCTGGGTTTCTCTGTCCCCACTCCATCTTCCTTCTCCCTGCTGTGCCCACCCAGCCATGCCGTGTGGACAATCACTCTTGCTCTCTGGCTTCAAGTGGGATTTGGCCAACAGAAGCATGGGCGGGCCCTCAGAGGGCAGGAAGAATGGACTTGGACATCTGTTACCCCCGCTCCTTCCCTGCCAGGTTGCCACAGGTAGGCTGCGTCCCTTTACTGCAGACTCGTATGCGCCTTCTCCACACAGCCACCCTCTCTGGGTTCTGATAGCCGTTCCCTGGCCTTCTCTTCTTCAGGGCTAGGGGTAGACACAGCTCCCCAAAGAGGCAGTAGCACCTCACAGCTGTGTCAGTCCCAGGCATGCTCCATGCCCTGTTGGCTTCCCTAACCCCATCCACCCCTTTGCAGACAGCGTCTTTATCAGCCTGCACTTCAGTTACCCAGCCTGTCTGTGTCCTGCTGGGGCCCTGGCTGAGACAACAGCCTTCACTCGATGTTTAGGTTTCAGGCAAGACCCACTTCCTTCCGGACCAAGCTGAGCTTTCAAGGCCCTATGGGATCTGGCCCCTGCCAGCCCTTCCTGCTCATCTGTCCTTCCCTGACTATGCCAGGCTTTTCCCTTCCTGCCTTTGCCGCCCCACCAAGGCCCTCACCCAGGAGCACCCTCACTCTTCCTGCCTGCCGCCCCAGAGCCGTCTGCTCTAGGCAGCTGTGCAGGCCGAGTAATGCCCACCACAAAGATGTCCACGTCCCAATCCCTGGAACCCAGGAATGCTACCTTCTGTGACAAGAGGAACTTTGCAGGTGTGGGTAAGGATGTGGAGATGGCTAGATTGTCCTGGATTATCCAGATGGGCCTTAAATGTCATCACAAGTGTCCTTAACGAGGGAGGCTGAGGGGCATTTGAGTACAGTAGGGAAGGCCATGCGATGTTGGATGCAGAGGTTGCAGGGGTGCATTTTGAAGACGGAAAAGGGGGCTGCAGGCGAGGAATGCAGGCAGCCTCCCAAAGCTGAGCAGGGCCAGGAAGCGGACTCTGCCCTGGAGCCTCCGGAAGAGACCGGCTCAGATGACACCTGTAGCCAGGGAAACTGATTTCACACTGCCCACCTTCAGTGTGGTAAGAGAATACATTCATGTTGCTTTAAGCCACTAAGGTTGTGGTCATCTGTTACAACAGCCATGAGAAACTAATCAGATTCCTTTCCCAATCCCAGGCTGGGCAGGCAGTGCCCTCTGGGTTTCTGCCACCCGTACTCACTCCAAGTGGCACCTGTCATTCTGTATCAGACCTGCAGTTTACCTGTTGGTCTTCCCACCAGAGCCCGAGGCAGGGGTTGTGCCTTTTCACGTCTGTTTCACCAGCACCTGCAGAGAGCCCAGCACGCGGTGTGGCATAAATGAAAGGTTGAAGGACAAATTGCATAGCTGGCGTTGTCACTCACCAACTGAAATTCCACAAAGCAGGGATGCTCACTTATGATTTTCAGGAATCTAGTAAACTCCTCCTGGTGACCCGCCGGACACCAAAGTGGGCTCCTCAGACACTGGTGGTTGGTTTTCTACGATGCTCCACTGGGACCGAGTCGGAGCTGGACTCCTGTCCTCCTGTGACTGAATTAATTCCTCTGATACTGCCCCCATCCTCAGGGTCCCAGGGAGCATGACATTTGGGAAGTGTCTCATATAGCATGGAAAGTGGAGCAAAGGGCCTGGGGGTGTGCGCGCCACCGCTGTCTTTTCTCTTTGCCCCATTTTCTCCTTTCTATCCCCTTCTCCCCTCTGACATTCAGGGACAGGGACTGCAGCTTTGTCCCTGCCCAGAGCTCCCCTATCACATGCTGGCCGAGGCTGCAGGCTGTACAGCCTTCTCTGCACACTCTGCTCTCTTGGTCCCAGCATGGGGACTGGGCAGGAGGCCCACAGCTGCTCAAGGAGCTGGGGTAAACTCACACAGCGGCTCTTCCGCCCTCCCTGCACTCCTTTCCTGAACACCTCTCCTGCCCATCCTCCCTCTCCTGGCATCCAAGTCCCCAGTTCCGCACCCCACTCAACTCCAGAGACCTCAGCCAACACTTCCACCAAGGATGGGGCTGAGACCTGCAGGGCTACCCCTTAAGGCCCTCTGGTCCGGCCCCCACACCCATAGGTCACCAGAGAACTTGATGGTTTGAACCGCATCCCTCCACAGGACTCCTCACTGAGATTCCAGCGGGGCCACCCTCTCCTGTCCCTTGCACTAGCCTGGGAAGTCTTTCAGCACAGCCACCAGCAACTTCTTCTTCATGTTCCCAGGGCCTGGAAAGGGGCCTTGCATATAAATTTGCTGAAATGTATCAGGGTAGGGGCTGGGGGCACTGTTCAACCTTTAGCAAGGTGGCTGGGGGACCTGAGGTCACAGGGCAGGAGCCGTCCTCACGCTGAGTTTCTGTTTCCTTCTGTGTAGAATACGGCTAGGGAGGAGTCCTGCTTCGAAGGATTGAGAAGATACTGAAATAAGAGCTCCCAAGGCAAATTGAGAAGTGGGGAACGTGCTTGCATTGAGAAAAATGAAAGACCCTTTCGAAGGCACCTCCCCTATGACTGGAAGAGGAACCTCTGGGCAAGGCAGAGGAAAGACACTTGTACTTTCGTAGTTTGTAGTGGGAATCAGCCAAAAAGTGCTAAAAAGGACGGTATTATTAAGACAGGTGGTGAAATCTGAATACGGTCTGCAGAGGAGAGAATACTACTGCATCCATGTTAATTTTCCTGATTTGAACAACTGTACTGGGTTATGGAAGATAATGACTTGTTTTTAGGAAAGATCCACGGAGCTATTATAAAGTGGCATTATACTTCAAATGGCTCAGATCTTAAAAGTATGTATTTGGCCGGGCGCGGTGGCTCAAGCCTGTAATCCCAGCACTTTGGGAGGCCGAGATGGGTGGATCACGAGATCAGGAGATCGAGACCATCCTGGCTAACACGGTGAAACCCCGTCTCTACTAAAAAATACAAAAAACTAGCCAGGCGATGTGGCGGACGCCTGTAGTCCCAGCTACTCGGGAGGCTGAGGCAGGAGAATGGCGTGAACCCGGGAGGCGGAGCTTGCAGTGAGCTGAGATCCGGCCACTGCACTCCAGCCGGGGCGACAGAGCAAGACTCCATCTCAAAAAAAAAAAAAAAAAAAAAAGTATGTATTTGGAGACAGAGCAAAAATTATAAAGCAAATGTGGCAAATTGTCAACAACTGAGGAATCCTGCTAAAAGGTATATATTAATAGAAAGTTTTTGTGCCATCCTTGCAACTTTTCAACTAAGTTTGAAATTGTTTCAAAATGAAAGTTTTCAAAAACACTTAAAAGCATTTGCAATATGTTCATTCATTCTGTTTGAATCTTGTTCCGTGAGAATACATTCATGTGTTACTAGAGTGTTGCATGTTTTTTTGTCTGTCTGTTTGTTTGTTTTTTCTCAAGACAGGGTCTTGCTGTGTCTCCAGGCTGGACTGAAATGGCGTGATCTCTGCTAACTGCAACCTCTGCCTCGTGGGTTCAAGCAATTCTCCTGCCTCAGCCTCCTGAGTAGCACACCACCACGACCAGCTAATTTTTTGTATTTTTAGTAGAGATGGCAGTTCACCATGTTGGCCAGGCTGGTCTTGAACTCCTGACTTTGTGATCCACCTGCCTCAGCCTCCCAAAGTGCTGGAATTACAGTCGTGATCCACCGCGCCCAGCCGAGTGTTGCATATTTTTAATGATTGAACGGACACTGCGTGATGGTTAATTTTATGTGTCAACTTGATTGGGCTCAGGGATGCTCAGGAGCTGGCAACGTGGGAATACATCCAGCATTAAAATAAATGCAATTAAAAGTAAAAAAAAAATAATAATAAAACCCACATTATTTCTAGGTGTATCTGTGAGGGTGTTTCTGGAAGGAGTTAGCAGGTGGATCCGTGGGCTGAGTCAAGATCGCCCTCCCTAGTGTGCCAGCCAGGCGTCCTGCAATCTGCCGAGGGCCTGAAGAGAACAAAAGGCAGAGGAAGGGTGAACGCCACTGTCTCTGCTTGAGCTGGGCCGTCCACCTTCTCCTGCCCCCAGACATCGGCTCCTCTGGTTCTCGGCCTTTGGGCTTGGACTGACCTACTCCACTGGCTTCCCTGATCCTCTACTTGCAAACAGCAGGTCGTGGGACTTCACAGTATCTGCAATCGTGTGAGCCAGTGTCTCCTAACAAACGTCTTTCTATCCATCTGTGCATGGCCTATTGGCCTGCAGAGCCCCAAGTAATCTACACAGTAGGCGAAACCTTGTGAGCTGAAAATCACAAACTGTTAAATATTCCCATATTTGTCATGCTACTCATTATTAACACGATTGTTATAATTATTGTTGTTGACATTGTCAATAGGTTGAGTAGTTCTCGACTGGCAGAGGGTGGACCGTCTTCCTGGTGGCCGGGCAGTTCATTTTCCCGCCTCTGCATCCTGGATCCCGGCCCCAGGGCTGCTCCCGGCAGGAGCCAAGGCCCAAGGAACTCTCGACAGTCCGTAGCCGGCGTTCGGCAGTGACCTCCTCTCTCCACTAGAGGGCGCGCGCAACGCCTCTTCCACGCCGCGGGGCTCCACGGAGTCGGAGCTGCAGGCGCTGAGCCACAAGACATCCACGGACCTGGGCTGCAGGGAACCTGGCAACTGCAGTGAAGACGGTCTGGGGTCTCCGGAACCCAACTCAATTATCTGCTCCGTTTTATTCCCCCGCATAGTTGGCTGTTTGCTTGAGGATAGCATTGAAACTGCATACAATTCAATAATTAATTCCAGACTGGATCTGAGGAAGCACAGGTAAGTTAACCAATGCAGACTGCGGACTCCACACCATCAAGGAGGGCTGCCCAGAGATGGCAATGGGCAGCCCATGGCCCAGGTTTTGCTCCCAGGTATCCTTTGTTCGGCCTTCATGGTGCCTGAAAGATAGAATTCAGAGAGTTTAACATTGAAAGATTTTTAAACTTGGGAGAGTTCATGTAACACCCAGATATCTGGGGTTTTTTTTCTTATAAAATGAGGTAAAAGACACCCACATCCCCCCATGGCAACACCTCCCTCTCGCTAGAGCTGTGGAGCCAGCCATTGCTCCCCTTGGACTGGGCATACACTCTCCAGCTCACCACAGTCCTCACCCTGGCACCACCTCGCTGTGTTATGTCTCCTGCCGGGACCTGCAGGCATCTGGCTTGGCCACCTAGACCACAGGAAAGCCTGAATTATCCAGATGCCCTTAGAATGGGCCAGTTCCCTTCAGTTACATTTTCTGGTCAACTGCCATTTTTAAGAAAAAATCCTTGAGATTGCAAGGATTTCTGGGAATAAATTTTTAAAAATTATGTAAAATGTTGCCATGCCTCCCTGTCATCATTGCAACCACTGTGGAAAAGGAGGCACACGCTGGAGGCTGTGTGACCTTAAACGGTCACCCAGTCTTTCTGTGCCTGTTCTTTTGCCTGTAAAATGGGGACTTTAACAGCCTCATCAAATGCTTCGAGAATAAGGAAGACACTCCATGTCAAAGCACTTAGCAGAGCCCCTGGCACATAGCAAGAGACAAATAAGCATTTACCATTATTAGTAGTAATTACAGGTTGCGCATCCCTAGTCTGAAAATCCAAAGCCTGAAACACTTTCAGATAAGGTACCCTCAGCCTGTATTAATCACATAAGGTAGCTGAGTACACGGGGAAACTAGGCCATCATTCTCAAACTGGGTGCACATCAGAGTCAGCTGAAGGTCATGTGGGCACAGAGATTGCTGGGCCCCCTCAGAGTTTCTGATTCAGTAGGCATGGGCTGGAGCCTGAGAATGTGCTTTTTTATCAAGTGCACAGGTGACTGTTGACACGCTGTTCCGCATGGGCACACTGACTGTCTTGGTCCGTGCTGTATTGCTAGAAAGTGATACCCGAGCCTGGGTAATTTACCAAGAAAAAAGCTTTCTTCAGCTCATGATTCTGATGTCTGGAGAAGTTCACAGTTAGGCATCTGCATCTGGTGAGGGCCACAGGCTGCTTCCATTCATGGAGGAAGGGGAAGGGGAGTCGGTGTGCAGAGATAACGTAGTGAGAGACGAAGTGAGTGGGGAGCCGGATGCCAGGCTCTTTAACAACCATTTCTAGAGGGAATTAGTCAAGCAAGAATTCACTCCAAGGGAGGGCCTTAATCTGTTCATGAGGGATCTGCCCCCTTGAGCCATACTCCTCCCATTCACCCCACCTCCATGACCCAAACTCCTCCCATTCACCCCACCTCCATGACCCAAACTCCTCCCATTCACCCCACCCCCTTGACCCAAACTCCTCCCATTCACCCCGCCTCCATGACCCATTCTCCTCCCATTCACCCCACCTCCATGACCCAAACTCCTCCCATTCACCCCACCCCCTTGACCCAAACTCCTCCCATTCACCCCGCCTCCATGACCCATTCTCCTCCCATTCACCCCACCTCCAATATTGGGGATCAAATTTCAACATGGGGTCTGGAGGGGACAGACATCCAAACCATGTCACTTACTAATTTCAAAAGTGTACCTACACATTGACTTGATTATCTGAAAAAAAGTCAAGGTAAGTATTTGAAGAGTAGACATGTATAAAGTACTTAGAACAGTGTCTTGCAAAAATGTGTTATAATTATTAGTAATAAAATGGGGGAGAATCGGGAAAATCTAAAAACTAAAACTCAAGAGAAGGATGTAGGGAGAAGCAGCTTTGGGCCTTTGGGCTAAGAGGTTGCAGGGGTCACCCTGTCTTAATCTTCTCTACAAGCCTACGGCGGAAGAACATGTAGGGAAAAGAGTTCTCAGAAATGAAGAGCCCTGTGCTAGATTCCCCAGGTATGAGGTACAAGTGACCTCCCCAAACACAGGTCTCTCTGCCTCCATGGGGGCTGGGGTCTTCCCACTCCCCCATGTCCCTCTGAGCTGTAGCTAATTTGAGTTTCAACACTTGATCTGGAAGTGGCTCTGTCTGGAGTGTTCTACAAAAGGCCTGCACCCCCTGGGGTCCAAGAGCACCTCCTGGGGTCCAAGATTTCAGGGTCATGATGCAGTCACAGAAGGATGGCCGTGAGGGCCCCATGGACAGGAAGGAAAGGAGGTGTGCAGGAGAGCTGAGGCCGCAGGATGCATGTCACAAAGGAAGGCGAGTGGGCCGGGAGCTGCACAACTGCAGCTGACCCTGTTCTGGGGCAGGTTCTCCACATCACGTGTGTCCCTGACCCGCCCCAGCCCTTCACCTCCAGGGCTGGTGGAGGGCAGAGGCTGAATGGGCAAATAACCCCGAGTCATCCCCAAATCTAAATGGACCCAGGGTTTTGGAGGGGCTCATCCTAGGCCCTCAAAAGGCTCAAGCCTATTTCCAGGGAACACAGGATCGGATGTGCCCCAGGTTTGTCCTGCCCCCTGGCCAAGAATGGGTGTTCGCAGCAGGTAAAAACAGAGCCCGGGGGTCACACATCATGCAAGGGCCCCTCACAGCATGTGATGCAGCCAGCATGAGAAGAGAAGGGGGCTGTCATTGGCCAAGATGACCCTCCCCACGGGGACACATTCCAACCAGAGATTCGAGACGTCTGACAACTTGGAACTTGAACCTGGCCTTCCCGATAGCTGGAAAGGCACATGTGTTAAGGGAGCCCTTAGGCCCTATTTTACTTAACGACTGTTAGCTTGATTTGAACTCCGAACTGTTGAGACCTGTGATATGTGGTCTTCCCTTTGAACTCCTGCCCGTGCCCTGCATTTTCAGGGACAGAGCTTCCCACCAGCACCAAGAACACTGCTGGCATTCAGATGTTCAGAAGATACTCACCGAACAGATGAATGTGGATGGCCGGGGTCGGGGATGGAGGGGCTGGGGCAGGTGGCTGTGAAGTGCAGGGCTTCTGCCCAGGGTCGTG